TCATCCATTATTTCATTCTATCCAATTACAATAACCATGCAAAACCACAAGAACTTTTCGAGTGCTCAAAGCCAGTCAGTAGCAACAACCCGTCCGTAATCATACAAACAATCCTGAATCCTGTTCAACGGAGATTAAAGAAAACAACGGTTCGTCAAGGTATCGTGTGAAATTAGAAGGTGACCTTGGTACCCTTGTACTCGGGGATACCACCACGGGCCTTGTTGGGGGGACCACCACCGCGTCCGCCAAAGCCGCCACGACCACCGCGGCCACCACCACGGGGACCACCACCGCCGCGTCCGCCAAAGCCGCCACGGCCACGGCCACCGCCGCCACCACCGCCGCCGTTGTTGGCACGGGGAGTGCTGAAGTCCAGGCGAACAGGGCGGCCATCGATCTCGGCACCGTTCAGCTCGTTGAAGGCCTCGCGAGCTTCCTCAACCGACGAAAACTGGACGTATCCGAAGCCCTTGGGGCGGCCAGACTCGGGGTCGGTCGGCAGGCGGATGCCCATGATGCTTCCCTTCTGACCGAACACCTCGTGCAGAGAGTCCTCGTTAGCACTGAAGGGGATGTTGCCGACGAAGAGAGTGTCGCTCTCGGGGCTGGCCTGATCACCGAAGGAACGGGCACGGGCCTGAGCCCGGTCCTGGAACCCACCCTGGTCCCGGTTGGCGGGGCGTCCGGTAGCGTAGTCAAGGTTGATCTTGCGACCGTCGATTTCGGTGTCCTTCTTGGCTGCGAAAGCCTTAGCGGCGTCAATAGCGCTGGCATATTCGACATAACCGAATCTGGAAGCGTTAGTACAGCATCGTGAACGGTTTGATAAAGAAATACTCACCCGCGAGAGCGGCCAGTGTCGCGCTCGGTCATGATACGAACGCCAGACAGCTCACCGAATTCCTCGAACTCACTCTGGAGCCAGGCCTCATCCACGTTCCAGGAGAGGTTTCCAACGAAGAGGTTGGCCGATGCGCCGGCAGCAGGCTCTTCAGTCTTGGTCTTCTTGGGAGTGGCAGAGACATCATCCTCAGCCTTGCGCTTCTTGGAGTCCTTGGAAGAGTCTTCAGACTCAGATTCAGAAGAGTCGGAGTCGGATGAGTCAGAGTCACTGGAATCGGAAGACTGCTAGAACCATTAGCATTCTGAAATGACGTAGAATATGGACAATACAACATACCTTCTCAGCCTTCTTGGGAGCCTCCTCGCTGTCAGACTCGGACTCGGACTCGGAAGAGTCGCTGTCACTGGCCTCCTTAGCAGCCTTCTTGGGAGCCTCTTCCTCATCGGAGGAGGAGTCGGAGGACTCGGAGGACTCGGCAGCCTTCTCAACCTTCTTGGCCTCCTTCTTAGCGGGCTTCTCGTCCTCAGACTCAGACTCAGACTCAGAAGAGTCGGAAGAGTCGGAGGAGTCCTTAGCCTTCTTAGACTCCTTCTTGGAATCCTTCTTAGCGGGCTTCTCCTCCTCGCTCTCACTGCTGGAAGCGTCCTCCATCTCTTCGTCACTGTCAGAGTCGGACTCCGATTCAGAGGAAGATTCGGAAGAGGACTCAGCGGCCTTCTTCTTGTCGGCCTTCTTCACCTCCTTCTTGGCAGGCTTCTCCTCCTCACTCTCACTCTCGCTGCTGGAGCTGGAAGACTCCATCTCCTCATCGCTATCAGACTCAGAGCTGCTGCTGGGAGTAGGCTCCTTCTTCTTGCGCTTAGACTTCTCGCCCTTGGAGGCGACCTCGCGAGCAATCTGCTTGCTCTTGGCCTTGGGAGACTGGGAAGCCTTGGAGACACCGGAGTCCTTGACCTTGCTCAAGGTCTTGTCAACGGGCTTCTCAGCACCCTTCTTGGTAACGGACTTAGTCTTGGACATTTTGAATCTGGCGACGTGGATTGTTAGTTCATGCACGGGAAATGACCATGAGACAAGAATGAAATACAAACCAAATGTAATAGACTTGGAGTTCAGATCAAAGCAAAAGATTTTCTAATGATAGATCCCACAAATGTGCGGCAAATCGTACAATCCCTCAATCACCCGATTTCAGAGAAGAGATTTCTCAGATACCCACAAATAACCCACAACGACAGTGTTCAAGCCCACAAGAGACGGACAGGAAATACGCAACTGTATAATGAAACCCACGAGAGTAACCCACAGATCCCACAAGAGAAATTGCAATATGCCACAGCCCACAGCCCTCTGTATTAAGCCCACAGGATGTCTGTTGAAAGTGAATACGGGGGGAGGATTGGTGAGATTCACTTGGTAGAAATACTACTAAGTGAAAAGATATAGAATTGAAAAAGGCAAGGATAAAGAATAAGTGAAGATGGGAAGAGAAGAAGGAAAAGAAAATTTCAAAAGCTGGAGCTCTGATAAGATGTGGACCCGGGCGGAAGGCAGAAAAAAAAAAAAAAAAAAAAAAACGGGGCTGGCAGAAATTCCTGCACACCGCCTGCCAGACCCAGGGACAGACCAAGGAGGTTCTTTGTACCTGTAAGCGGCCAGTCAATTATCCGGCAGAATTATTTCAACATTCTCTCACGTGAGCCATTTGGTTGTCAGAATTTTGAGCCCATTGTCTTATTAACAGAAATCTTAGTTTACTCAAAAAATCCTGGCAGACAGCTATATAGAAAAATGCTTAGAAGGGAATTTTCCAAATAAGACTGGACTCTTTTGCTCAAGTTAGAGGCATCTCAATACACAACCTGGATAAAAAGGCTCATCGCCCCGGTTAGAGGTTCATGAGGTCTGACTAATGCATACTAAAATGTTGACCGCCTTCCAGTCTCAGTATGGTCCAGGTACTTTGAGTGGAGATTGAGTAGATCTTTGATTGGTGAAGATTTGCCCACTGTATGTCATTCTCCGGAACCAACAATTGCATTGAGCTGGCCGCATCCATCTATTCTGCCCCGACTCTATCTCCTCTATCCGATTCACTAGACCTTGTCCTTGGTCTCAACTATTCCTTGGCTTGGCTTCGCGTGACAGATACGCAGTCAATGGGTTGCTCTTAATCATATTTCGTCTCGACAACATGGCTCCCCCTTCTTCCTACCGTCCACGGAAGAAGAGAAAGTTCCCCTTGTCGTCCACCGGGTCAAACAACGCCCTTATTGTGGATGATGGAAACGGCAAACATACTCCTGCATTCCCTTTGGTGTCCTTCCTATGGGCAGCTCGAGCAGGTGTGTCTCAATGGCTCATTTTACCTCTGATTTTGATGGCCGTGGGCCTATTTCGCTGGGCCGTTAGTTTGTGGGGATACTCTGGTAAGTGGAACGATCCCCCGGTGAATGTACTTTGTTTCTAACCCATATAGGCTTCCAAGTACCCCCAATGCATGGCGATTTCGAGGCACAGAGACACTGGATGGAGATAACAATTAATTTACCCATGTCAAAATGGTACACATACGACCTTCAGTACTGGGGACTTGATTATCCACCGTTGACTGCATATCATAGCTGGCTGTTGGGAAAGATGTACGTGAACTCTTGATGCCGCGAAATATAGCCGTACTGATGCTGACTGTGGTAGTGGTACTCTCTTTGATCCCTCATGGTTTGCTCTGGATAAGTCCCGTGGCTTCGAGGATCCTCGGCTGAAAGTCTACATGCGTGCCACGGTGGTAGTATCCGAGTATCTTATTTTCATTCCAGCAGTTGTCAATTTTCTGCGCCGATACACGCAAATGCACGGAGTACCCGTATGGTCTGCCTCTGTCGCCATGGTTGCTATCCTTTTGCAGCCGTCGACCATTTTGATCGATCATGGCCATTTTCAATACAACACGGTCATGCTGGGGCTTGTTGCTGCAAGTCTGGATGCGATTTTGGCAGGACGCATGCTTTGGGCATGTATCTTCTTTGTGGGGGCCTTGGGGTTCAAACAAATGGCTCTGTACTACGCGCCCGTCATGTTCGCTTTTCTTCTGGGGATTTGCGTTTTCCCTCGGATTCAGCTCATCCGCCTTCTTTGCATCTCCTTGGTTACGATTGTTGCATTTGCCGTTCTTATTGCTCCACTCGTAGTGAGTGCCATCAGTGCAGATGCTCAGATTGAATTGTCCTCCATACCGCTACCCCCCCTCCTACAGGCGCTGCCTATCGAGCTAGACAAGGGTTCGATACTTTACGCGCCCTTGCTTCAGCTGACGCAGGTCATTCACCGAGTCTTTCCTTTTGCTCGTGGTTTGTTCGAAGACAAGGTTGCAAATGCCTGGTGCGCCATTCACACCTTTTACAAACTCCATCGATTCGAGGCGACTCTGCTCCAACGAGTGTCATTGGGTGCCACATTAGCATCCATCTTGATTCCTTGCGCTATAATTTTCCGTCACCCACGTGCCTCCTTTCTTCTTCCGGCCTTGTCTACAGTGGCCTGGGGATTTTTCTTATTCTCTTTCCAGGTCCACGAGAAGAGTGTTCTACTACCCTTGTTGCCCATGACGCTCATGCTCTCTGGCGATGGAGGTCTAAGCAAAGAAACCCGCGCCTGGGTTGGGTGGGCGAACATGCTCGGCTCTTGGACGATGTTCCCTCTTCTGCAGCGCGACGGCCTCCGAGTTCCCTATTTCGTCATGACATTCCTCTGGGCCTATCTACTTGGTCTTCCTCCCGCCTCTCTAGAAGTTTACCGTGGCCGAAGCTCTTCCGATGACTCCTCACCTCTCCCCGAACCTCACATTATCACCAAACTTCTTCATTTGTGCTTCTATCTTGCCATGGTCGCGTGGCATGTGCTAGAAGCTTTTGTTCCTCCTCCACCTGCAAAACCCGATCTCTGGGTGGTGCTCAATGTGCTTATCGGTGCTGGTGGATTTGGACTCGCGTATTTGTGGTGCCTACGGAAGCTGATTTTACAATGCTGGATGATTGGGCGCAAAGTGGAAAAGGATTCGCAGAAAAAGAACCAATAGTACACACAAGCGTTTGTTTCCCATATTCAAACCAGATCAGGAGGTTAATTTGAGAGATACCCATTTTCTTTTCAAGGGCGCCACGCATAGCTCTCTGATTTGTATATAACATTTATTACGCAACCTACACCAACCATGTTCTATCTACCATAAAGGCCGAAGCAGCTTAAACTGAAGCTTTAATACAGAACACTATGCTCAAGTCAAACCTCCACAACTTTGATCAAGAGTCATATTTTACATTCTAATTTATCTCACAAGAAAGGAGAGTTCCCATCAACCATTACAGTAATACGCATCTAATGTACAGTCTATGCATAAACCCGAATCCCAAAACACCATGCAGTGAAAACCAAGCTGCGTGCATTTGATCCCGTTCCCGGTAACCAAACATCTAGACCTTGAAGCCGTATCCAGCCATACAGGCCTTGTACTGTTCAATCATGGACTTGCATTCTTGCTGTGGGTCGTCAGATTTCGAGAAGAGCATGCAGTCATCACGAGCGGTCTTTTCGGTTTTGCAGACGCAGCAGGGCTGTATCAATGTTTGATTAGCATCAGTTTTGGAGATGAGTCGAAGAACGTCAGGGTAATCGTACTTTTGGCTTCTCGGCAGGGGCCGGGGTAGGTTCGGGGGCCTTCTCTGTAGAACCTGGGGGGTTTTGTATGTTATTGAATGGACTTGCGGAGAACCGGAGGTCTGGAGACGTTGACTTACTGCTGGAACCGAAGAGCCACGACATGGTGGAAGGGTTTTTTGGGCGGTTGATGGGAAAGATTGAGGGAGGTAGGTGGATTCGAAGGTACGTAGGTTAAGACGCGAGATCGTGAAGGATTGTAGATGAATCAACCTGGATTGGAAAAAGATGCTGATTAATGCAATGATGCGATGCACAAATGGCGGCACTGGTTGCTGTGGGTTCCTGAAACGACGATCGCATGTTTGGTTATGGATCAGATTGGGTTTAGCGTGCGATTTTGGGTTCTTCATTGCAGGTGCATATCATCCCGCTTGACTTTCTCCAAGTTTTTATTCTTCTTTCCTTCGCACTCGCTTTGCTTTTCCACACTCTTTATAACGTTTGCTGGGGTCTTGTTTCGTATAGTCGTTTTAGACAATATACTGACCACCGTTTCCCTGTTGTCTTCTTAGATTGTCTTATTTCGATACCAAATTCCCCCCCTGAAATTACCCCGCCATGGCCCCTCCTAAGGTCTTTTCTCTTGAAGGCAAAGGCCTCAAGCTGGACACTGCTGAGGATGTTGAAGCCCATATTACACCTCTGATCGAGAGCGCTGATTACACTGAAATCCGTCTGGGTGGCAATACTTTCGGCGTGACAGCCTGTGAGCGTTTGGGTGCCGCCTTTTCCACCCAGAAGAACCTCGAAGTCGCTGAACTTGCCGACATCTTCACTTCGCGTCTGATTGAAGAGATCCCCATCGCGTTGACTCACCTTTTGAATGCGCTCCTTGAAATCCCGACGCTTCACACCGTCAACCTTTCCGACAATGCCTTCGGCAAGCGGACCTCGAAGCCCCTCGTCGACTTCCTCTCTGCCCACGTTCCTTTGCGCCACCTGATTCTGAACAATAATGGTATGGGTCCTGATGCAGGTGTGGAGATTGCTGGAGCACTGGAGGAGCTCGCAAAGCGTAAGGAGGAGGCCCGCAAGGCAGGAAAGGAGATCCCTCAGCTGGAGAGCATTGTCTGTGGCCGGAACCGACTGGAGAATGGAAGTATGGCAGCATGGGCACGTGCATATGAGGTGCACGCCGCAGGAATGCGCTCAGTGAAGATGACCCAGAACGGTATTCGTCAGGAGGGTGTCTCCCTGTTGTTGAGGGAGGGTCTCCGCCACGCCAGCAACCTTGAAGTCCTTGACTTGCAGGATAACACCTTCACCCTCATGGGCTCTACTGCTCTCTCTGAGGTGCTTCCAGGATGGACTTCCCTGCGCGAGCTCGGTGTCGGTGACTGTTTGCTCTCCGCTCGTGGTGGTGTTAAGGTTGCGCAGGCTTTGGCTGGTGCCAAGAACGCGAAGTTGGAAACACTTCGTCTGCAATATAATGATATCACAGCCGAGGGTGTTAAACAGTTCTTGCATGCGACAAAGACCGCACTGCCTTCGTTGCGCCGAATTGAGTTGAACGGTAACAAGTTTATGGAGGAGGACGACAACGTCAATGAGTTGCGCGAGATCCTGGAGGCTCGTAAGGAAGAGCACGGCAAGGATGACGACCCGGAGGAGATGTGGGGTGTAGACGAGCTGGATGAGCTCGAAGAGGAGAGCGACGAGGAAGAAGAGGAGGAGGAGGAGGAGGAAGAGGAGGAAGAAGAGAAGGCCGAGAAGTTCGTGAAAGACAATGCTCAGGCCGAAGAGGCCAAGGTCTCTCAGAAGCAGGACAAGGAAGTTGACGAACTTGCCGAAGCTCTGGGAAAGACTGGTCTGTAAACACGCCCTGGTTTGACCGATCATTCGCCCACTCCCGTCATTCCCCATATACCCGATGCAGCGGCGGTACCTACTTGCGCGCAGGAGCTGCGCTCATGTCTAATGATGTGTCTAGGGCTGGCTGGCATGCATCCGTTGGTTACGGTCAAAAGAGTCCACAACAATGAGCTCCGGAAAAGACCGAACCAACGTGCCAGTTGAAGTTGCCCTGGCACCGCCCGCCGTGAGTTGCACCCGCGCTTAGATACGGCTGATGTCCTTTGTTTTATGCTTCATGCCCATTGTCACGCTCGCATCTTGGTATTTTTTTCAGGGACATTCGATTAGACAACCATTGGCCCGTTCCAACCATACGACTTGCATTTTGCCCCAGTGATGTATATAATGAATCAAAAATGAGAATGAGATCTACACGCAAGAGATGTTACGAAGGAAGAATAGATACAACCATAGACAAGCGTGCAAAGCACACATCTCCGAGTTTATCTGTTATTATTTACAGTATGTAAGAGTATTTGATATCATACAGGTTAGACTTTGTAGTCAGTCCAATGAGTGGTCCATGTTTCTCCCACTCAAACCAAACGTGGTGATTCTCCCCTTTGCTGGGCGTCCTCTGTACATAGCCCTAAAGAAGGTCATCTCACTCCAACTCTCTTCGTAGCATCTTTACCACCATGCCGCCCTGAAGCACGGTAGTACACGTTTGCTAATTTCTTGCAAAAACCGACAGCGTGACCTAGTTCACACTGATGGTAAAGACTAAAGAACAACCAAATATGTTAGCCATCTAGACCCTCGATATTCAGTGTCAAAGAAAGCAAGAAAAGCAGGTTTCAGACGAGAGGGAGGGAAGGAAAGGAAAGGGAGACCGCACTCTTCTTTGAATCGAAGATCTATCTGCGCTTTTGCGGCCTTGGTGAAGCGCCCTTGTCTTCGGTAGTTCTGGTATCCGAAGTCATGACGCTCGCATGCGCGCTGGAAAGGGAATCCAAACGGGTTGCTTGGAGCCTTTGTGCAGCCGTCAGAGTACCAGTCTAACTGAGGAGGGTCCTTCTCCCCTCTGCGAGCTGTGAATTCGGGCAGCTCGATGCTAAAAAGCAGCTCGTCAGTGATAGCCTGGAGGTCCAGGCTTTCTGAGAGGCTTTTAGTGCCGTTGTTTGGCGTGGGGAGGGGTAGGGCGAGGGCGGCTGGGAGGAGGGCAATGAGGAAGATGCTAGTCTTCATTGCGTTGTAGAGGGTATAGAAAGTTGGGAGCTTGGCTCGTCAAGCACAAATGGAATCTTGAAGCTTGTAGCACCCCGAGAATGATATGTAGGTGGATGAGAGCTGTATACACTATACTGGCAAGAGTGTGAAGAATAGGAACCTAGAGAAGAGAGCACTGCTCTTTCTATTTGTGGTCTGATGCTACCTAGGTGAGCATGATCTCAGTCTGTTCCTGCCTGAACGGACATCACCGTGATGAAATGCCATGCTGCAGCCTGTCTCCCCCACATGCTTGACCCCCGCTGACCCAACGATTATATGCGCCAGTCCCCTGGATTGCCAACTATAGACGAGATTGATTGTAGAGGGCTTTGGTTCTAGGTGGTAGCCTGAGCCATTCAGACACATACTCTCTAGCCTAGCCTATTGGTATAGAACTCCGATCAATGAAGTTTACGCCAGAAAACCTGTGGAAGATAAAGTATAGTAGGCACCGGCACTTCTCTTTCCGAATGAGTGTCTCTGGTTTATGTATAGTCGATAGAGATCGGAACCGGAGAAACAACTGGTGAAGGTAGCGATTCTGCCGCATATCACCGCCGTCTGCCCTTTAAAGGTCCGTAGGCGACTATTCCGAAACAGGCAAGTCAGGCTTGGCGTGGAGTAATGGGAATCGCGCGGAATCGCAGCCTTTATAAATTACTTCCGACTTTCATCTCTTCTTCCTCTACCAACTCCATCCTGGATACCGTCTCCTCAATCTTCCCCTCTCGTTTGACGCCGCGTTTGAGGAGTGTTTTAGCATTCGCTCCCCTCAAACCGCACCTGCGATCATTTGCGCCGGCTCTTGAACGTTACGGTGAACTTGGTGAACAGTGAGTGTTAAACCCCCCTCTTCCTTGCATTCCATTCACCATCGCTTGCCGCCGGTTCCTGCCAAAGCCATCCGGGCGCCTGATACAGCACACTTATTACGCCTAAAATGGAGAAGCTTCATGATTTCGCATTAATGGAGTTTCCTGAAGAGGCACGTGCGCATGGGTTGTCCCGCCATACTCCAGCGCCCGGCGACGTCAGTCTTTCTTTTCTGGGAGATGGCTAGCTCGGGAAGCTTCGTATTCTCTTCTGGCGGTCCTATGAGCGGTCTCTATCGCAGGGATCTAGAGCTCATGAGATTCATCGTCTTCTCTTGGCTGGATTGGTCGCTCTATACCGGAATTTTCTCCGTTTTGCGCTAATCATAGAATTTCATTTGACAGGTCCTTCGAAGTCTCCTGCCCCTCGTTTCGATCACATTGACATCATGCCCTTGGAAGCGAAAGAAATTGAGCTCAAGGCGAAGGCCTTGACGAAGGCCGCTACTCAGAATGAACCAGCAGCCAACATTGTGTCCTTGCTTAAAGAGCTCCAGCAAGGTGTGAAAGCGACGGAGGATCTGCTGCGGTCCACCCGTGTGGGAATCATCGTCAACAAGTTCAAACAGCACAAGTCGCCCGAGGTCTCCCGCTTATCCAGTGAAATCGTGTCCAGGTGGCGGACTGAAGTCAACAAGCAGAAGGCGAGTGGATCACCCGCGCCCAGCCAGCGTTCAAGCAACTCGCCGCGCCCAGCCCAGAACGGAACCGCTTCACCTGCTGGTACGACGCCTACCGACAAGGCTTCCAAATTATCGGTTGCCCCGGATAAACGTACATGGAAGGCAGATGGTGTGGATGTCAACCAGACAGGAAATAAGATTCGGGATAGTTGCATTGGGCTGATGTATGATGGACTCTGTCTGAACTCGACGGAAGCTCCACGTAATGTTCTCTCCAAGGCGTCGGCCGTGGAGGCCGCAGCATACAAGTCCTTGGGCCCCGAGACCAAAGAGCAGTACCGCACCAAGATCCGCAGTTTATTCCAAAACCTCAAGAACAAATCGAACCCGACTCTCCGCGTCCGTGTTCTCAGCAGCGACGTGACCCCCGAGCAGTTCGTGCGCATGTCCCACGACGAGCTGCGCTCGGACGAACAGCGCGAGAAGGACGCAAAGATCCAGAAGGAGAACATGGACAAGGCAATGGTCGCCCAAGCAGAGCGCAGTATCAGTACCAGTCTGCAGTGCGGCAAGTGCGGACAGCGCAAAGTCACATATACCGAGGCGCAGACGCGCAGTGCAGACGAACCGATGACTCTGTTCTGTACTTGTCTGAACTGCGGAAAGTCCTGGAAGCAGTAACTTCTTTCATCCCCACTCCATCCTCTTCTATTCTTCTATCTTCCTCCGATTTACTGTTCCATTCATCTTTCCCACCCCATTTTATCTTTATCTTCTATAGCTGTTTTATCGAGTCTGTCCGATTACGCTACGGCGTGGAGTTTGGTTGCTTAAAAGAGGTCTTCATTCTCGGGCGGCAAGCAGGTTGAGCCCCACGAGCTTTTTCTCATTACCATTACATTTTGACTATTTAGTGCCGGTAGATAGATGATTAACGAAGTGCGTTGACTGCTCCCACTCAATTAATCAAACAAGCCACCATAAGCTCTGATAGTATGTTTCAAACCCACCGACGTCATAGTGAAAACAACAACTCCCCTCACCACAACCCCATACAATAATTAATCACCATCACCATCACCATCACCATCACCATCACCATCACCACAACTACATCCCAACCCCAACACACAAAAAAGAAACCCCAAAGATGCCAACCCGAACCGCCCTCCTCACCCGCACCCGCACCCTATGCCAAAACTTCTCCACCAGCGCCCCCCTACCCACGCTCCTCTCCAACTTCACCCACAATCCCCCGCCCACAGCCCTCGAACACGGTCTCCCGCAGCTCGCCCCCTTCCTCGGCCGCCCATTCACCGGCCAGGAGGGAATCCAACGCTACTTCGGACTCCTGGCTGAGCTGCTTACGATCGAGAAGATGGAGTTCGAGCCGGAGGAGAAATGGGTCGTGGATGAGAGGACGATGGCTGTGTCGCTGCGGGGGGAGGGCAGGTTTCGGTGGAATGAGACGGGGCAGGCTTGGGATGAGACGTTTGCGTATCGGATTGGGCTTGCGGAGGAGGAGGAGGGGGAGGGGGAGGTGAAGGTGGTGGATTATGAGGTTTGGGCGGATACGGGGGCGGCGTATTTGGCTAGGGTTGGGGGATTGATTAGCTAGCTAAAGGCTTTAGACATCTGTACTTTTTGTTATGTCTCTTTTCATTTTCTGTTTTCTTCTACTTTTACTGTTACTTGATTAGTGGAGGAGCGGTGTCTGGTATGATTGGGACAGTGTGTATTGGATTTGGAGTATGATAGATAATAGTAATTGAATCAGTTCTTGGCCACACTCCAGTCGATCCAGCCGATGTTTCCGGATTTCCCGTCGGGGTACTGGAACACTCGTGCTGGGGAGCTGTATCTCGCGTACTCTTTGTCGTCCAGGACTATCGTGACGTTTCCGTCTTCCCGTCCGGTGGCATTGAAGCCTGGTCCGAAAGCCTTGTACTCGGCCATGACGGTATCCTTGTTTAAGCGCCCCACGCCGTCGACGATCCAGTCGATGTACCCAGCTGGATTGATACTGGCGTCTTCGGAGGTGCGCGCGAACACGGACCGGTGCTGGCTATTCCATGGGCGGCCCAGGGCGCATTTACCCCGGATATCAGGGGCTATGGACGCGTTGGCTGCCTTGACGGTAGAATCGACGATGTACACGCCGTAGTTGTTGGTGAAGGTAGTGTTGGTTCCTTTCCAAGCGGTGATACCGCCACCGCAGTTGCGCAGCAGGATCTCCGAGGATTGGATCCAGGCGGTGCCGAAACCATAGAGAAAGTCGGTTTGGCCGGCGATGATGCTTTTATGGAAGTATGCGTTACCGAGTTTGCCCACGTAAACCTGAGTTCGTTGGTTAGTTTCAGTTCACTAGACTGCAAGAGAAAGGAAAGCGTACAGTATCCTGGTAAGAATAGAATCCGCAGTGATAGAACCCGCCATTGGCGCGACTGAAGCTGATCGCATGCGCCGGTCCATCGGAGTACTCTCGCCATGTATTCGCAAAATCAATATTGTATGCCCGGAAATCGACATTGCCGAACGGCGTGTCCTCCGGCACAGGATACCCTGTCGTGCCCGATCCCGTATAGCTTGATTCCAGCGTGGGCGCAACGGTCAGGACGCTGGAGAAGACATTATCTACTGCCTGGCCGGTATTGTCATGGTTCGCTTGGGCCCAGGTAAGGGTGACTTTATTTTTGGTGGCATTGTTAGGATCATCGGTCTGTCCGAGGAGCGTAACAGGCCCGGACCGAGTCACATTTACTTGCTCCTTGTACGTTCCTGGAAGGATGAGGATGGTCTGGGTGGTGTTGTCATTCGGGAGGGAAAGAATGGCATCCTGTACAGTGGTGAAATGGGCGGAGGGGTCAGTCTTGGAGACAACAATAGTTCCTTCCGGACAGCTGAGGGCCGTTTGACAAGCGTATCTAGAAGTTTTGAGAGGGCTTGCAGATGCCAAAAGGGCGCCGAACAAGAGTGATAGCCCAGACGAACGCATGGTGATCAAGTGGCACGGTGGAAATCCGCTGGTATGAACAAGGAATCCCTCTCACACGCATCCCCCCAATGCAGTGTGCATCTTTTATACTTCATATCGGAAAATCTGTCTTACGTTCTTTTACCCCGGGAAAAATTGCGGAGAGACATAGTAGTAAAGTTAACGCGGATCAACACTGTTGGTCAAGCACACGCAGCCTACTCCGACTGTCACAAGGCTTGTCCATAGTGCAAGAGCTTGCATAACTACCCAAGTCACTAATTGGACAATCTGGGGATTTGATCACTCCGCATTTGGGCGTGGATATCCCCAGGCCAGGGGACGGAGAAATTCGATGCAGTATGCGGAGAATTGCTTTCCACCTGTTAGCATCTTTAGTCTAAGGATTCAATGACGGAAGACTTTTCTGTAGTATATCAAGCTAAGTATAACACGATCGGTATAGCAACTATGGGGTGTGACTTTGAGATGCTTTATCATTCTATTGCTTTGAATAATATGGCCAGTATGAGGGGTCTTAAGGCGCTAAGCGGGGTGCAGTATGTACAGTACGTTGAGGGGAACAAAGGTATAGGCTCCAACAACCCCGGATCAGATAGAGCTGATGAGTCAAGAGGTAAAAGCACTCTTGAAAAGTGAACAGTAAAGAAAGTGCAGCAGCATATCATGAGCGTGTCTTGAACTCGCCAAAACGCCGAGAGGTCAGGTTACACCGTACTGGAGTCACGGGTATGCCAGGTGATTTCCGTTTTGGGAGAGCATCGGACCACGTCAGGCCAAGCGAACGGGTGCCTCAGATTCCAGGCCAGCGGATCATCCCACTGCGGGATTTTCTGCTTCTTTCCTTCTGTTTCCTTCTCTCACATGGACCCCAACACCAGAGCGGGGCGTACCTTGCAGCAATTGTTCATATGATCAATACTACTGCGCAGTAGTCACCGTATAGTCCGTCGCGGTGGACCGAACCCACCACAGCTTGGAGCTGGCCAGCTCAGCTCCAAAGAACGCTAGACCAAACGACCGCCCACTGCGAATGCTACATGATTCAAATCTTGGACAATCTACCTCGGTCTTTTCGCTCGATCGGGCGTTCTCCGAAGGGTGACTGTTAGTTCCACGCGGTTGAGAGAATGAGGGCCCACCGTACCTGCCAAGAGGGGCTCTGTGTACGTCGGGTGGACCGTGTCTAAGATGAGACTGAGCGCAGTCCAGGTTTGTCGATCCGAATATTAATCAAGGGGAAGGAAAGGCCCCAAGCTGACCTTAGCGGACTTTAGCGAAGGATAAGGGAGGGAAAAAAGGAAAAAAAAAGACACAAGTTAAGGAAATTTTGGAAAAAGTGATTTACTAGAGAAGAGAAAATTTTCTTTGAAAACCCTTGATTTGACTAATTTACCACTATTAATGACATACATACATGATAAAGAAAGGAAAATTCACTCTATAAACTTAGAGCAAAGTAATAAAGGCATAAAAAGTCTATAATACGGGTAAAATAATAAAGCCGGTGCACCAGCTCATGCATGTATGCTCAAGTGATATCCAGATCGGATAGTATTAAAGGAAATGAGCGTAATCAAGCGTTTACTCATCCTCCTCGACCTCAGCACGGGCACCCAGCATGTAGCGGGACTTGCCGTTAGCGTCGACCTCATGCTCGATAGCCAGCTTGGAGAGGTGGCTGAGCATGTTCTCGATCTTGGTATCAGCCTTGGAACGGTTCTTGCGGCCAAGGTTGTCAAGACCGGGGATGATGGTAAGGAGGTAGTAGACGACAGCAATGATGATGGTGACACCGATGGAGTAAGCCCAGATGACAACAACTGTGACAATGTCGACATCACCGTTGACGGAGAACTCAGCCTGGCTAGGGGGCTTGGTCTGCACATAGTCGCCGGAGAGCCAGCCGAACACACAGAAGAGGGTGGAGAGGACATCGACAACGAAGATAGCACCGACCAGCTGCCAAGAGGGCCAGGTCTTACCACCACGAGTAACGAAGATCAGCCAGTTCTCAGTAAGGGCAACCTCAAGGAAGAGGATTTCCTGAGGAGAACCGAAGTTCTGGATGATACCACCGTTGGCAAGGAAGAGAGAAGCACGGATGATCCAGGTAGCAGCAGCAAGCAAGATACCAAGAATGACGGAGATAACCCAGATCTTGGGGAGCTGCCACTCGACAGGACGCTGCTCGAAGTGGGCGTTATCGTAGGCAATAGCAATGGTGGCCAAATCAGCGAAGAGGGCGATGAAGACAATAAGATCAGCACGGATGGTCTCCTCAATGATGATCATGGAGGTAACGAGGTAAATCTCAAGATGGAGACACAGAGCAATACGGTACTGAATGTAAGCCTTCATACGCTGGAAAATCTGACGAGCAAGCTTGATAGCATCGACGATGGTGGAGAGACCAGGGGCAAGGAAGACAATATCAGCGGCGGCCTGGGCGGCTTCAGTGGAACCCTCGACAGCGATACCACAGTCAGCCTTCTTGAGGGAAGGAGCATCGTTAACACCGTCACCAGTCATGGCAGTCAAGTGGCCACGCTGCTGAAGCATCTCGACGACCTGGTACTTGTGCTCGGGGAAGACCTCAGCGAAACCGTCAGCCTTCTCAACAAGGTCGTACTGAGCAGAGCCAGCAAGACCACCGTGGATAAGACGCTCGGAGTCGTAGACCTTGGTGCTCAGGGCAAGCATCTTGCAAGTTTCCTTAGCAATGGCAAGAGCATCACCAGTCAACATCTTAACGGAAAGACCAAGGTGCTGGGCCTCAGCGATGGTGTGGGCAGTATCCTCACGAGGGGGATCGAACATGGGGTACATGCCCAGAAGCTGCCAGGGCTCGCCCTCCTTCTGGACGGCAACACCAAGGGAACGGAAACCACGGCGGGCGAACTCAGCAGACTTCTCACGGAACTTGGCGGCCTCCTCCTCGGAGCACTCAGACATGTTGAGGATAGCCTTGGGAGCACCCTTAGCACAGACGTAGCGGACACCGTCGCAGGTACAGATGGTGGTGATACGCTTGGAGACGGGGTCGAAGGGAGTGTACTTCTCGGTAACCCAGTTGCGAGCGAGGATCTCACGGGCCTTGGGGTAACGACGGAGAGTAAGGATGGTAACCTTGTCGATGGGGTCGAGGTTCTTGACGTTGTGGTTGGAGGCAATAGCAGCGACAGCCATCATCCAGTTAACATCAACACCCTCGTTGACGTAGGGCTCACGAATGGAGAGCTGGTTGGCAGTAAGAGTACCAGTCTTGTCAGAGCACAGGATGTCAACACCAGCAAGAGATTCGATAGCAGTGAGCTTCTGGACGATAGCCTTCTGCTCAGCCAGGTAGGCGGCACCGACAGCGAGAGTGGTGGTGGTGACGACGGGGAGACCGACGGGGACACCAATGATAAGGAGAATAAGAGTCCAGTGGAGCAAGTTGTTGTCCTCCTCCTCAGGAGTGGCGATCTTCAGGTGACGGTAGAAACCACCGATCCAGGCAGCGAGAATCCAGAACATGACGAGGACCAGGAGAGAGGTACCAATGTTGTCCATGACAGCCTTGAAGTGACCGGAATCAGAGGCACCCTGGACGAGAGCAGCGGTCTTACCGACGAAAGACTGCTTGGCGGTAGCGATAACAATACCGTAGGCCTTACCACGCTTGCAACCAGTGGTGTAGTAGCAAGTGTCAGCCATGTACTTGTCGACAGCAAGAGATTCACCAGTGATGGCGGACTGGTCAACAGCGACCAGAGAGACGCCAGCACGGGCCTCAATGCCAGTGTCGTCATCCTCGTCATCCTTCTCCTTGAGAGTGTCGTCGTTGCGGGTGGCGAGGTATTCCTTGTAGGTCTCGAAGTTCTCGGGCTTGGTGTAGTCACAGATAAGACGGACATCGGCAGGAACGACGGTACCTTCCTCAACAACGACCTGTAGAGCGAATTGGTTAGTCAATGGATCACAAAACGTAGAAACATCACAAGCCAAGCACATACGATATCACCAGTAACAAGCTCACGAGCGAGGATCTCCTGCTCTTGTCCATCACGAATAACAATAGCCTTCATGGCAATATCACCCTTCAGCGAAGCAACAACGTCGGCGGCCTGCTTTTCCTGATACCAACCGACAACAGCGTTAAGCATAAGAATACCAATAATGACACCCAAATCGATCCAGTCACGCAGACCAGCAGCAAGCAAAACAGCAAGTTCCATAACTAGTAGGACGTTAGTGGGCCTGTAAAGTCTTAACGCATTGTTGTCGCAAACATACCGTAGAGAATAGGACCACGGAAGTAACCAATGAACTGAACGAAGAAGTTGGTCTTCTCAGTAGTCAGTTCGTTCCAGCCAGTGCGCTTGCGACGAGCCTCAATATCAGCGCCGCGGAGACCAGCACGCAAGTCGGTCTCGAGCCACTCATCGGGGCAGACGAAACCTTCCTCAACGCCATCGCCTCCCTTCTTCCAGAATTGCCAGCTCTTCTTGGGCTTCTTGGTGCTCATAGCACCAGCAGACGAGGTCGAGCCACGGCGCTTGTCGCGAGCGGTCGAGATATAACGGTTGAGAGCGGCATACTCATCGAGGCTAGCACCATGGTCGCCATTCTCCACGTCGGGAGCATAGGAGATTCTCCGCTCCGCCATTGTTGCTTCGGCTCACACAGCCTTCGGGACCCAACGATATGAGCAGATGCAAACAAAAGATGGCAGGAATGGCAGAAGTCGGAATTCCTATAGAGAGAAGAAGAAGAAGGGAGGGGAGAGGGGTGGAAGGGATGTACTCTTTAATATGTCTGGATGGGGGGGGTGAGCGAGATTGATTTGCACGGGACCTGAACAAACACGTCTTGGTCTCTAAGCTCCAACGGGCGACCTTCCCTGTGCGTAAGCCCACTTTTTTTTTTTTTTTTTTTTTTTTTTTTTTTTTTTTTTTTTTTTTTTTTTTTTTGGTTCTGAGTTTCGGGGTGGTGTGGCCGGGTGCAGTAGCCACTTTGATCGAAAGTTCACTGTCCCTGAAAGGCCGACCCGACCTCTGACCCTCTTTGGGTTTAATCCTCCCACGCACACACATTTTTGCTTAACGGCACGCCCTCGCGAGCAGATTTTTTTTTTTGTTTTTTCCCACCTTCAAATATTTTTCATTTTTCATTTTCCCCTTCCCTGAATGGCTCCTTTCTCCAGAATAAATGTGGGTCCCTACCGCATCCAGTTTAGACTTACCCTTTGGAAAACTCTTACCTTTCCATATTAACACGATGGTACGCCGCCTTACGCCTACGGTGCCTTGTCCTCTATGCTCAATGGAGTAATCTCTACTGTACGTTTAGTCTCCATGACCGGCAGCTCTGTGCCGAGTTCGCCCCCTCTCCTCCACTCTCTCCATACACTTCACAGTAAGCGTAAACCACGGGCGATGAGAGGATTCTGGGGTGTCATGGTACGTTGCCATACATCGGTAAAATCGGCCACAGGGCAGAATTCCACCCTCAGGAAGGTATGTGACCTGTAAAATACCATACCGCTTGGCTCGGTCTCCATCGGCCTAGTTATCGGCGAGTCTCTCGCTCTCGTACCTGACTCTGGGGGTGTGATTGTGGGCAGAATTCTCTTACGGTACGCAGTGCCGCGTGCGGGTGGCCCTCGTTAATTTTCCTCATCCTTCCATTCAATCTCGTTTTTACTATGCGCGATTTTCCAACCGCTTGCAACGAGGCGTTTTTTTCCTTACCATTGACCATACTAATTTCCATTGATTCGAATAATCATAATCATCAAATTTGCCGTCAAAGTTCCAGAAAATTTGAGACCACCAGGGAAGGGCAAAATAAGGATAAGACAATGACAAGAAACACTATCGGTTTCTGTTATCTTCCTTCCCTGCAGCAAATGACAAGTCAGGGTTTTGCATCAATTTACATTTTTGATTTCATATTTCATTTTTCTTATATTTTTTTTTTCTCTTTCTCCTGTTGACCTCCTTGCAGAGGCAGAAGAAAGACTCATCTTCTCGAATCCAATAGTAGCAGTCGACAGAGAGGACGAGAATCCAAGTAGGGTAAAATAAAAATGTTCCGTTACTGGTGCATACGAGACATACAGGGCAAACAAACAAAACTAACATTGTTTCTGCTTGGCCAACTTTGGTGCAGCAAAATACTCCGTCTGGTTTACTTCAGAGTTTCCCTACTTACGGTTACCATTCAAGGGCCGTCCTACCCGACCTTCCCGTCACCAATAACCACGAGCTCAGCCAACCGGGAAAGCGCAAGGGGCAACTTGGAAAAGGAAAATCCCATCCCATGCCATTTCCGGGTGCAGGGCAAAACGAGTGTAAATTAAAAACAGAAATAGTAAACAGATACAATGTCGAGTCGATGACACTGCATGGTTTGATTATGATACGATGCTTCGGACAGGGTTTAATCAATGGATCATCGCGAGACTCCATTCGAGAGTCGTAGAATCAAACCGCCTCCATGGTCGGTGGTCCCGACGGGAATTGTGACGGGGAAAGGTAAAAAAAAAAAAAGTCAGTACGGGTTGAAAGAGAGAGGTACCTCTGTTGCTTCTTTCGCTTCCATCTCTTTTCCAACTGTCAAGCCATCATGACCTTCCGATTACACTTTTCGATACCGAATCCTGACCACATCTCATGGCATTCATGTCCAGAACATGAGTAACGACGCTATTCCCAAATCCCGAGTCATTATGTCATCAGGATTAGTATTTCCTATCGATCATTTGTTGTTATCAGTCATGATGATGATGAACAATACTAATTATTATCTTCTGCAGACGCACTCGGTGGCCATATCCCACGCCCCGCTGCGTAGCTCTTTCATAATTTTATTTTACTTCCAGTGATGATTGATTTGAATTATTCGTTTTATTTTCCTGGGTTTTCGATCCTGATTAGTATTAATATTATTTTTATTACCATTTATTTATCTAATGTAACTAAACTAGCCTCACCCAAAGAATCCTAACCCGGAGTCGATCGTCTTTGCTTCCCACCAAAGACTGAGCGCGGATGACGACTGGGCGTCGAGAGACTCTCCACTCCACCTTCATTAGCCTCGCTCCAATCCGCATCCTCTTGACGCTGATTGAGTTTCGTCCCGTCCTTGTCTCGTGGGGAGCCAAAGGTCTCCATTTACGAGCGTCATTTCCTGTGAGTGGTCGTTCACCGTGAGAGTCTCCGCCAACTAGTCAATTGCCCTCTCCATTTGGCTGCTTCTCTCCTAGTAGTATTATTGTGATGGGATCATGGATTATTATTCGGGCCTTGCCATTGAGTAGCTTCTCGGTTCCCACCACCTATCAGTAGTCCCGTTTGGTGTATAGAACTAGGAGCTATAATCAGCTTGAACTATCTGAGAATAGATTAGAGTATAGCTTCAGACCTCCCGTCGCATTCGCCTCACACATGGGTTGCAATCGATGATTTCATCGGCGTTGATCCTGTGAAGTCATACCCGTTCGTAGTCATCGCCGTATCTTACCTTTCTGCATTGCTATGAGGTATCGCATTGCTCTCCTGCACCTTGAACGGGGGGACGATAACCACGTTGCGTTGCGATATTTTTCCATGGGCGTTGACAGGTTGGCCTGTATGCATGCATGCGTGATAAAAAAAAAAAATAAAATAAAAAAAAATAAGGGTGTTGCGCTTTCTCATGCATGATCATGCCCGCCGATCGCCCGTGGCTGGTTCTTTTTCCGATATGATCCTGTACTGAGGTCCGCATCATGACAGGTGAATGAGCGATATTGATGATGGAAGGCAAAAAGCCTCGCGCTAACTCGACCGTCATCATGCCGCAAAAACGGAAACTCCCGATTAGGATAGAATTCAGGATGGCGGTGGATGTATCCAATTAAGGTGTTTCATTTGACGACGACAACAACAACAACACAAGGGTGCATTCTACGCGCTCTAATGCCCATGCTCTCTGCTATGCATGCATGGACATTGACACGATCCTCGTCACCACCTCCCTGCCAACCACCGTTCTCAATTCTCATTGTCTATCGCCAACCACCCACGTCGTGGTTGCCGTGCTCGCCTCCAGATCGGCTGACATCTCGCATCTGATAGATGCCAACCTTCGCTTCTTCATTATAGTTTCCTGAACCCGGTTTATTCCCGCATTGTCGCTCGCCTGGCGCCCATGATGCTACAGGGAACTTGCCGGTTCGGGATCTCCTCCACACTTTCTTAGCTCCTCCCACAGAAGGCTTGTCTGTATACGAGAGCGAGTAAAAAGTACGATGGGATAGAATCTACTCCGTACGCCTGCCAAGGCTGCTCCTCCACAGTCAGATTTAGTTTTATTTAGCTTCGTTTTGGATATCTTTTGCGTTTTAGTATGGGGGTCAGGGCCCTCCGTAGTACGTACAAACCCGCTCTTGCGGGATTCGGTGAGAAAATCTGGAGTAGATAGACACAAAAAAACCCCCATAGAGTGTAGCAGCAGAAGAACGACGAAGGTCCATGTCGGGATATTTCGAAGCTCCGGAGGGTCAATCGGGGGCCAGTCTGGACCCCCATACCGCCACCCTTCCTCGACCCCCCCCCCTCTAATGGAGTCTAGTGAGACTACGGAGTACAATGGTTATGGTATTCTCAGCGACAGCAGATTTCGGGGAGAAGGATGACCTGCATCATCCCTACCCCATACTGTATCTACGGGGTTCACGATCCCAGTGGTGTCGGTCACATGTACGACTCGGTGGTTGGAGTCCGAGATCCCGTGTGAAACATGGCATTTTCACCGTTGGGAAAAGAAAGGAATGCCGTTCTCTTTGTTCGTCAGGATGTACGGTATGCCTGACAGGTCCGATGGTATGTTTACTTCGCCCTTCCCCCCCCGCCGGACGTCCTGTTCGCGGATCGAGTGCCGTCTGACCCAGGTTCTTCCTACTAGTATTCTAGTTCGCCCTCTCACGATAGTATAGACTACTGGATCAGGATAAGTACATAGCAGCAAGGTCGCGGGCGCTTTCCGCGGCTGATGGGACCGGTCCAGCGACAAATGTCGCTAGTAGATACGCTTTGCCCGTTTGGTACCGCCCAGCTCGACTACAGCGGTTCCTGCTGATTGGATTCCGCTTTACTCCTAGTTCTGCAACAGAGAACAAGGGGACAGTCATAAAAATAGCATAAAGATGATTTAATGAAGTACGGAGGAAGGACATGCTCGGGTTCTTGTCCCGATAAGCAGAGGTACTGAATGCGTGCAAACGAGCTGAGGGAATTCCCCAGCCTCCTCCGTTACCTCGACAATACTATACGATTACAAAGGTACTACTTGAGACATTAGTACGTCGCTCTAACAGAATTAGCCCATACAGCTGGATCAAAGCACCCTCCGCCGACAGTCCCGTGCACGCAACAGAACAGGTAACTGTGCAACGATTCATCACTTTACGTAGTTGATCGAACTCCGGGGGATTCTCACCGTTTGCCGGCGCGGTTTATTTTACCTCAGTTTTGAGGAATGGGGTGTAACCGGCGCACGTCAGCCAAGAGTTCCTCTCTCTCTTTTTGTTTTGCCCTCCATTCCTTTGGTCTTGCATGTGTGTACTATTAATACTATTAATAATACAGGCCAATACCATCTGACCTCATCGGTATCCCACTTCCTTGAAGCACAAGCGACAAAAGTCAGAAGCCATTAGTGCAGCAGCATTGAGCCCTAACCGATTACCTTATGAAAAGCATAAGAAAAAAAAAAAAAAGTCTACACAATGACAGTTGGCAGGGCTGAACCCAATTGCTCCAAGATGAGAATTACACTCGTAGAGTAGATTCCATCCTAATAGTTGTTTGGTTATGCCAGTGGGGGTGGAGTAGAAACATACAAGATTTAGTCAAGGATTCGAGTGGTGTTGGAGTGAACAAAAGACCCCACAGAAGACCCGTGGTTGAGCTCCTCTATCGAGACTCAATTCTATGGCTTCGGGAATTCCTGACCCTGACCCAGTACCGTTGATAATAAATCAGGTGGATGTGATTGAGAGACGTGGAAAGAGGGTGGGTAAAGTTTTTGATTTGTCCTCTTTGACAGTGTCGTCGATGTCCCATGGGTTGGCTGTAACGGGTGTCAAGAAAACCTCACCCACACAAAGAATTTTTTTTGGGAACCCTCGAAATCGACAGATAAAATTTTCAAGAGGCAAACCCGACTCATTCTAGAAATTCGAAGAATAAGCCAAGAACCTTCCTGACGTCGCGGACAGCAAATACGTCCAGCTGTATCTTCGAACGAACTACGTAAATGCCTCATGCCATGGACTGGAGATGGCATCGAGGAGTGATATCAGTAGTCGACTTTCGATATGCATTAGAACGACACACTATTATCCCGCAACGGATCCCAGCCAACCAACAGTGAGGCTGTCGACATAAACGGGCGAGCGAAGTGGAAATAATCGCCACCGGATTGGGGTCGCCGCAGCTCTGATGGGGGTGTGGCTCCATCCGTGACTCGCCCGACCGCTTTCGATGCCCGTTCTCGACGTTTTCTAGAAAACTGGATCGAATGGAACGGTGCGAATTAGGTGCATTCTTCGTCCAAGAAGCTGGGATTTCGCCTTTGGGTCGCATTTTAGGTCGGATGTCGGCAATCTGAGCGTATCTGAGTCTTTTTGTGTGAGATATCGTTTTGGTTGCATTGTTGTTCGGTGGACGGTGTGGCCATGTGAGATCGAAATTTTTTTTTTTTTTTTTTTTTTTTTTACCTTATTTGCCTTCAGATTGGTTTACTCCAGAATGTTACGTCATAATCGGCAGTCCGAGGAGATGCTGTTTTTGTTTTCCACACACACACGCACGCACATACACGGTCGGGTAAATTGGTCGGGATTCAAGAGAGCCACTGGCAAATGGACTCAATTAATTGGGATTTCCTTCTTTGGGACCTGAGGAACAGCTTGCCATGTCGGGCTAGACCGTACGGTCCCGTTACGTAAGTTTCAGTGGATGAGTAAGCGCCTACCGCTTTGGGTAAGTACCTCTCTTTTTCCCTGTCAGGGTATCCACGGTGCCTCACTATCGACCGACTGACTAGAGCCGCGTACACACACAGACACACACACAGACGCATATTTCCTGAACGAGGAAACTATCAGATTCCTCACCGTGTCCCGGAAGATCTTGCCGGTCTCGCCTTATCTACGTGCATGCTGCTAGTTGTACGACGGCGCTAACGACAATTGTCCGCCCGGATATTACTTTGACATTGTGGGATATATTTCCTAGTGTCCATAAGCAGCAACCTGCGACGTACCTATACCAAAGCGTCGACAGAGAGATAGCACCGTCATGCGAGAGAGGATGGCGCTATATCTCAAATGGATCACCGAGGTCTTCCGTGGTCCTGAATGAAACATAGCTAACGAGCTGTACCTACAGTAGCACCTCTTTTAGCCCGCTCACTAACCGCTAGTAACAGAAACGGGGAAATTACTTCCCACTCACCGATGCTAAATTGCAAATAATCCCCCCAATCCCCACCGGCGATCGCCCGTCGCCAAGCTGTCTCATCGAGGATCGTGGTGAGGGATTTTCTCCCAGTGCGGTCGTATTATCGTCGCTTCCCGAGGTTGCTCCATGGTTTGGGTGTGGTCTTGTTCGCCGTCTTGGACCTTTAATATTTTCCCAATCCAGAATTGATCTCGGTTGTGCTCGCCAAGAGCCAAGACCTGGTCCTTCGGAACAGCCATTGGGGGGGAGAATCAATTATTGTCTAGCTATACATAAATCACGGGGATTCCGTTCATGTCGCGCCTGCAGGACTGCACAATACGACATCGGGTTGCCCCAGATGGGGGCGTTTGCTCATCGAGATCCCATTTGCAGTTTAGACGGAGGTACATCATCTCTTAGGCGAAATCCTTCCCACCTTTCCTATCCTGTACAAGACGGCCGCGCTCAGACGAAGCTACTAACGTGTCCCTGCTACTATGAGAGATTTTCCCCCATTATTAGGCCCTTTCCCTCTACGGTGCCACGGTGGCAGCGGGCAACGCCAACGTGACGCCAATCGGCTTGTTCAATTTTATTACTCCATGGAAATCATAGATAATCAGTCATGAGATGATAAGAGCTCCGTGCAGCTACCAATTGCCAAATCAGAAGGGGCAACACAAGGGCCAGTCTCGGGGTAAAGCCGAGCCCGACTCGGAGATGATCTGACCATCAGTTGCCCCCAACCCATAGCTTGCTGTCCGCCCATTGTCCCTGCGTCATCTTGTGCGTGATTGTCGTTCATAACCATTGTTTAGAATTTCTGCATCGGCTACTCACGGTCTCGCGGCCGCTCTAGAGGATTTGTTCTACGAGCAATGCAACGGCTATCTCGGCGTCCAACATGACGACAGGAAATTAAATGCTAGAATTGAGAAATCAACGCAATTCTTTTTCTTTCCAGGGTCCTAGTCTCCAGTAGAAATTCCAATAATCTCTGGAGGTGCCCATCCACCCGGATGCATCTGACATGACATCGGGATATTTCACCTCGGCAAGCCCCTGGTCTCGGCCCAGCCCAAAAACTGGCCGCCATCGGCGTCACGGGAATCGGCACGCGATGCCCGCCTCCCCTTCCCTATCACCGTCATTCTCTTTGGCCTGGTTTTCCTCTGGATGTTTTCTAGCGCTTCTATCTGACTGTCTACCCCTGGATATGGTCAGGCGATCCGCCGATGTTCCATGGTTGGAACAGTCGGTCAGCGACTAAGAACTTTCACTCGGCGGTTGACGCCGACGCGACCCAAGATTAAAAATTTTAGGCCAAATGCTCCATGAGACAAGTCTCTCCCGACCATGTTGTTTCGGATGCTTCCTGCGCGGGGCAGTATGTACAGAATCATGCAGGAAGTATGCTGAAAATTGGTCCGCCAAGGGAATAGAATGCAATAGGGTCGGTGAATAACCTTCCTGGCGGAATTCTGGGCCCGCGATCAGAATCTCCTCAGGGAAATATGATATCAGCGCCCGACCGGTTGTCTCAGCCTGGGTCGTCGCAATAACGGAGGTCTCTCGATTGCCCTGCAGAGTGGTCTGCGAAGTATATTCAAACCTATAGTAGGCTGTGCAACGCTCGCTGCCAAGGGATCTTCAGCATGGATATTCCCCGCATGATACATCCTGGACGACCGTCTATCTGATCTCATGTGTCCGGCTCTCTTCAAAGCAAGAATGTCAACCTCCTTGCGTGATTGAGGTCTGCCAGGCTGCGTGCCACGGGACTGGTTACATACTGGCACATCAACCCTGCAGACGTGTTCATTGGAATGCTTGGGACCGATTAACGAGCTGCGCGACGCCATCGGAAGGCACTCCCGGGATAGAGACATACATGCACGTCTCTTCAATCTCACACATACAGCACCCCATACGTCCAGCCAAGCCAGGCAATGCAAGGCGAATCATCCCCGTCGGAAAAAGGCTGCACCAAACCCTCCTAGAAGGCAGCAGGGACCTCCATTGCATACTCCATACAGTTCCCCGAAACGAGTTCGCGATCGCCATCCGAGCGCTGATCGCTATCTGCCTACGAGACAGTGCCCAAGTGGGCGATACTGCCGACGCCCCATGATGTCAAAGTTTTCTATATTCAGTATACTTTCAAGACATACGTAGGCCCTTTGTACACGCTGTACCCGTAGAGACCGTGGCCGTAGATGATTGATGGATGCACTGTAGAAGACGGTGGTCGAACCCAGCCACCCGATCAGGCAACACAGATTGTTGAACGTTCACTTGCCGCAAGGTTGACAGGCAGTGATCGACAATGCGTCAGGGGCTGTGATGAACTTATTCTTCACCGCCAAGCAGGTGAAGTGTTCGCTAGCATTGCGACTTGTATGGGGTCCAGAAGCCCGCAATTGAGGGGTACTGCTCTGGTGCATGGATCGCGTGAGTCCATCCCCAGGAAGAAACGCGGACTGTGTCTGTCGTTGGGGGGGGGTGTTTGTGGTGCCAACCCAACCAGCCTGGAAATGAAGCAATCCATTGACTCCGCCAAGCAAATGATGTGCAGTATCAGCAAGGCTGGTGCTTGGCGGATATACCCTTGGGACAGTCCGTCTATCAATAGCCAACTCACTGTACGGAGTAAGAGAAAGGAAATCCATGACCGTGCAAATGACATAACATCAGACCACTATCGCTACACTTACCTCACGCACCCTGGACTACTACTAGTAGTATTACTACTTTAGTCCCAGCTGTCCACTTTCTCCCCATGGAGTATCCGCACTCCATCTTTTTGGACCCCCTACCCCTATAATCTAACTCGCATAAGTCTACTCATAATCATAATAATAATAATAATAATAATAATAATAATAATCCCACAATCAATAACAGATGATCATAACAATCATAGTCAATGGGCAAATTACAGTAGATGATCCCATTCAATTCGCATTCCTCCCCAACCACCTTCACGGTAGACTCCCTCTGACTTTTCTCCTGAAATTCTCGCCAAGTCCACCCTAACCCATGCATTCCTCTCCAACTATCGCTCTTGGCATGGTCTACCGCCCCGAATTCGAAGGGATAAGCACTGCCCCCGGATAAACACAAACAAGAAGAACACAAGAAAATAGGCTCAAAAGTTAAGTACGCAGGAGAGACATAGTGACTCTCCGCCAAGACCCAAAAAAAAAAAGGGTGTTGTATCGTCGGACTTGAGTTTCTTTTTCTTTTCTCTTTCTTTTTTATTTTTATTTTATTTTATTTTTTTTTTTTTGCCCGATAAGATGAGTCGTTTTGTTTGTGGGCGCATTTTTGAGTTGGATTGTTTCGGGCGATTGCGATATAGTTTTGAGGTCATGTGGGAGAAAAAGAGACTAGTAGTTGGAGGGGGATCTAGATCGGGGGTTAGAGTTAAGAGTTGAAGTGCCCTGGTTTGGAAGTTTTATCTGGTGTCTTGAGGATGAGAATCGACGGTGTAGAATGGTAGTATTTCTATTCTCCTCTGTATATTCAGGTCAATGTGTGTCCTGGATCTTGTATAGCGAATTACACAGTAGTATGCCCATTGAGCATGTATGTATGTATGTACAATACTACCTACAGGGTAGTATCTCCTCCATACCATACATGCATACATACATCATATCAAATTCAGTCCTCTATCACAGTAGACATAGATTTTTATAAAAAAAAAAAAAAAAAAAAAAAAAAAAAAAAAAAAAAAAAAAAAAAAAAAAAAAAAAAAAAA